ACACTAGGTATTAGTTACCTGTCTCATTGCTGTGACCGAATGACAAAGCGTCGTGAAAAGGGAGGGCTCATTTTGGCTCACACCTTAGGGTACAGCCTATCACGGCAGCAGAGGCATGGCAGACAAAAGCTGTGACCCCGGCTTATGTTGCACTCACAGTCAGGACGCAGAGGACGGATGTGGCTGTTCAGCTTGCTCTTTTCTTCCTTCGGTCTTTTGGCTCCTTTTCTAGCCCCTGGCAGCTAGAAAGAGTGTATTGACTTTACAGTTTCAGAGGGTGAGTCCATGACCATCCTGGTAGGAGCCATGAAGCCAGTAGGCAGCCATGGCAGGAGCTGAGAGCGTACATGTTATGAACACCAGGGGGCAGAGAGAGAGTGTAGCGGTAATGGCATAGGGTCTTGAAACCTCCAAGCCCCAACTGACATACCTCTTCTGACCAGGCCCTGTGTCCTAATTCTTCCCAAACAGTTCTATCAACTGGGCTTGGAGCATTAAGATGGGGTCTGTGGGGGCTGTTCTCATTCAAACCACCATATTTTGTCTAGTACTTTCGGCATCGCTGAATCTAGAAAAGCCTTCTGGTAATGTCTCCAGGTGATTCTAGACCCGGGGGAGGCGGGCAACACTAACCATCCCTCCTGGCACAAACAGTAGCTGGAGGGGCTGTATCTTCTGACAAATAAGCTACCACTACATTTCAGCAGAAGAAAAGGAAAGAACACGACCTCATGTAGGTGTTTAATTGTGAGAAAAGTGATTGGGGAAGATGCTGGTAATTAAAATCTACGTGCGCATAAACGCAGAGGCAGTGTTGGTCCCATAGTTGTGGGAGAGCAAATTAACTCCCATCCTGTTTGGTGATGCTGCAGAGCATGTGACAGAGCCATGCTCAGTCTATAAATAAAATAGAAAGTTCTAGAAAGGCTTGGTGACAGCCATCTTGCTTATGGAATGGCTCTAATATTTTCTCCAGAAGCTGGGAGAGGAAGGGTTGGAATTACATGTCTGTTAGTGATGGACAATAAACCTACCAACCTGAGTATATTTGTTATGTATACAGTGAGGTGATATTTTTGATGCTTTATTAGCATATATCAATTATAGATCTTTTCTTACATGTGTGCGTTTTGATCATAGTCATTCCCCATTATCCTTTCTTGTGTCTCCCCCACTGCTGTTGATCCTTTTCCTTACTATGCTTCTACTTGTGTGTGTGTGCATGTGTGTGTGCCCCATATGAGTTTAAATAGGTTGTTTACAGGAGCATGTGTAAAGAGTTATTTACAGGTAACTCATCAGTGGCTACAGAGCTGAAGAAAATGTCTTTCCCCAGCAGTCATTATCTGCCGATAGAGCCTCAAGGAGAGTAGGGGTTCATGGGCCCCTCCCAGCTCCTGAAGGAACACTGATAGGCTGTCTTGTGCAGGCTATCACAACTGCTAAGGGTTTAGAGTGCAACGGTCATGTCATGCCAGGAAGACAGTATTCTACAGCACTCCAGTCCTTACTCCAGGTCCTGCATCCTTTTCACCCCTTTCTGGATGTTTCCTCAGTCTTGGAAGAAGTGATACAGACATCCTTTCTACGCTGAGTATTCAGCTGTGACGTATTCTTAGTTCTCTGATAGATTATGTGTCTCCAGATTGACGGCTTGTTATTGTTTGAACGTGCAATGTCCCTCTTAGGCTCGAGTGTTTGAGTACTTGGTCCCCAGCTGGTGGTACTGTTCGGAAAGGTTATGTCTAGAACATTTGGAGTTGGAACCTTTCTGGAGGGCGCATGTCACTGGGAGTGGTATTTCAGGATGTATAGCCTGCCTCTACTTACTGTTCTGTGGTTCCAGACTGCTAATGCACTGTGATTGGGCTGACTGCAAGCTCCCGTCATGCCTTTCTGCCCTTATGGACAGTATCTTCACCTCTGGAACTATGAGCCAAACAAACCCTTTTGCCTTTAAGTTGCTTTTGTTAGGTATTTTAATACAGCAATTAAAACTAAAGACAATTGCCCACTAGGAAAAAAAAAAGCAAAAGCAAGCAGCTTTTCTTAATCAACCTGCCAACAGAACTAATTAATCTCTTGGAGTGAGTTCTGGCACACCCGCATGGCGCTGAGCTGTGTAGTTCTCGGTTCCCTCTTGGTGCTCTCTTATCTTGGTTCAGGTTGGCTGGACTGGGTTCAGTGTGTAGGAGGGAGCAAGTGGAAGTTTTGTATTTTTACTTCCAAATGCCACCCCATTGCTTCAGAACCTTGATCAAGACCACATACAGCCAGCTGGACTATGACTGAAAAAGCATGGGATAAAACCGGACTCTCTGAACATGGCGAACAATGAGGGCTGATGAGAAGCCAAGAACAATGGCACGGGGTTTTGATCCTACTTCATGTTCTGGCTTTTTGGGAGCCTAGCCAGTTTGGATGTTCACCTTCCTAGGCATGGACGGAGGGGGGAGGACCTTGGACTTTCCACAGGGCAGGGAACACTGACTGCTCTTTGGACTGGAGAGGGAGGAGGAGAGAGTGGGGGGAGGAGGAGAAAGGTGGGAGGAGGGGTAGGGAAATGGGAGGCTGGGAGGAGGGGGAAACTTTTTTTTCCTTTTATCAATAAAAAAATAAAATAAAAAAATAAAAATAAAAAAATAAATAATAATAAATAAAAAAAAAAGACCATATACAGCTACCTGGTATCTGGTCACAGATCAGCATCTGCTGCAGCCTGCAGACAGAATGTCGTGTTGACTACCGCTGGTGCATAACATGCACCGATGCTGTAAAGGAAGGACAGAAGCCGGAAACTGCAAATGTCTGCTAGAAAGACTTAGGGAATGGTTTTAAAGGATTTCCTGCGAAGCAATGGAAGCTAGAAAGAGCATCCCTATAGGATACGTTGGTGGAGGATTTGCCCACATTATGGATGAAGAGGAAGGGAGGGCACGGTGAAGGCATTTGCACTTGTAGCAATAAGAGTCAAGGTCTAGTATAGTGTCTGTATAAAGTGAATATAATAGCCAACAGAAACTTCTGTGCATATTCTTGAAAACATTTCTAAACATGTAAGTAGATTTTCCCAAGAATAAATCAACTACCATGATCCTAACAGGAGGATTTTCTCTTCAAAGCATAAAATTCCTATCTTTATGAGATTTAAAATGTAGAAAAAAATTAATTCATATAGTAAGACCTTATATTTATATAGCACATTAGTTTACTAAGCAGTTTCAACCAATTTTTAAATTTTATCCAAATGAAGCTCATGGTAGAGACATGAAAAGTGTAAATCAAAGTATGCCATGGCTCAAAGCCTCAGCAATGCGCAGCAGACAAACCTTGAGCTCTTGTACAGTAACTCAGAAGCATACTCAAGGCTGCTCTCTGAGGACAGAGTTCTGTCAGAGTCTGGATGTGTGAAGGCGTCTGCTGAGGGATCCTAAACACCGGTCTCATCTACTAGAAATGCAACCTAAGTTAGGGATGCTCATGATGACCTCCCCAAAAGTTTACACTCAACTCCCAATACAAACACTAGGTAAGGACCTGAAGACATTTTACATTACTGGAAAGAGAAAACAATCATTTTCACAGAAGTACCTTTATTTGGTACTTAGTACAACACTGACTAGCCATTGGACTTTGTGGACCTGACTATTGACTAGCAACCCCACCTGTGAGCATGAGTAAATACTGGCCAAGGCATGTTGGAGTCAGTGAGTGAGATTGGCCTGACTGCCACCCTAAGGAAAACCTGAGAAGATTGCATATTTTATGAAATCAGCATTCAAAAACCTGTGTCAGATAATCTGAAATCTGGTCCCAAATTTAGTTTTTAGTTTGCTTTCCCATTATAAAATCTTGATAAATACATGAACCAAAATCAGTTTTCAATGACAAACAACTAGTAAATCTGGAATAGTACTTTAGGAAGAATTCGTTTACAGCTGGCTCAGTTAAAAACTGTTCATTTTAGTTCTATTTGGGAAAAACCCTCCACAAAATCCATTACCTAGCAATTTGCACCCACCCAGGTGCTAAACATTGTGTCCACCAGTGAGCACACTGAAGCATGACGAAAGGGTCCCTCCCAACCATTCACAGGTCTCTATGAGGACTGATGAGAACGGACAGCTTGTTAGGAACTTGCAAAGTACCAATGCCAGGTGCAGCGATCCTGCCTCAAACTGGGCCTCGCCCGAGCTAAGCTCCTCTACCCCAGAGCTACAGCCCTGCATCCCCAGCACTAGACCCTACACGACACTTTTCCTAGCACTTCATGACAGGATACTTAGCTTTTAGCTCCCCCACGTTAGTGATACTTGCTTGACGTGCTTGGAAGGCTAAAACTGAAGAGGTCAAGAATGATTTTTATCAGAGGCTTGGCCAACATTTCCCTTAACTTTCAGAAATATCGTTACACTTCCTTCCTAAGTTCTATAATTCACATGAATCACAAGATAGGAATTTTGTTAAAACAATGAAGTTACACACAACATACACTCTCTCTCTCATGGTTACCCTGCCCCCCACTCCCACATATATCATACAAATAAAATAACTACTCTACCTTACCACTGACACAGCCTAAAATGAAACATGTCCAAGGCAGACATGAAACTTTCAGGCATTTTCCTGAGAAAATGTGGAGCATTTAATACTTCCCAACTTCCCACTTCATTCCTAGTTTAATGGAGACTGTAGTCATTACCCTGTGAAAATTAATTTAATCACTACTTAGTAATCTCTTACTCTAGTCGCATCAGTGTACTAGATGGGCGTCAATGGGGAAAAAAGACAGTGAACACAAATATAAATGTTTCATATGCATCAGATGAGGTAGTAATCATTTAGAAGCAGATATCCAGAATCAAGAGGCCGACTGTATTTGACCAAGTTGTAAGAACTTGAAGGGTGATGAGAAGCCAGCTGTAGGCCATGCTCTCTGGACTCTTCAAAGGCTCAGACATCACAGCGGCAATCACATTTGTTAATGGCTTTGTACTCACGTGTCTTCAGAATCTTTACTGAGCTCATCTTCAAGCTCCTCTATCTCCAGACTGTCCTGATGAACATCTCCTATAGTGGGAACGTCCATCAGGGTTCTGAACAGCTTGGAAAGATCTGGGAGTGAGCATGTCCTCAGCATCTACAAAGAGGGTGACAGATTGCTTATTAGGAGGAAGAGAATTAAAAGCAGAAGGACAAAAATCAGAGATAATACAATATTTAAATTATGTATTTAGATTTAAAGGATTCAAAGGTGACTTGCCTGAGGTTAGAAACTAATTTTCTTAAAATATGGCTCATATAAATAATACTAAATGAACTCAAATACACATATGTATCTGTGTGTGCCAATAATAATAATAAAGAGATCATGAGTTTGGGAGGATGTGGGAGTACACAGAAGGAGCTGGAGAGGGATGGAGGGATGGCAATGATGCAAATTCATAAGAAATTGTCAAAAAATTTTAGATTAAAAATTCAGCTTTAGATTATTTTTACAAAGAAAACTAAACTTGTAAGTAATGACTGGGCTTTAGCACAGAAATCGTGCCGGTCACCTTTTAGAGTGAGAGTGGTTTCTGCAGAGACACACATGGCCTGGAAAAGTAAGTCTGCTGGGAATCAGGCGGTGTGAGACGTGCCCACTTGTTCTCTCTCACCCATCCTGTAGTTCGCCCACCTTACCGGGTCAACTCTCCCTGTGCAGACTTGCTGAAAGCAGAAGAGAATTTTCTGGAATGTGCTGAGCCACTATCATGTACAATCGGAAACCTGCGCACCACTTGCTCTTAGGAGCTGCTGCTAGCTATGTGGTTTGTTAAACCAAGGACCTTCCATCAGTGTAAAGACAACCCTGACTGCATCCCCCAGAACAGGGCTGAGTAGGGTCAAAGAGACGGCTGTAAGGACAAGCTCTGAGTCATTTATAACAACACTGAGAAGGAACTCAGCCAACTGTGCTAAGAAAAATCACATACAGTGTAGGTGTTGACATTTCGATCAGTGTTGGACAAGAGCAGGAACACCAGGAAGAGTCTCTACTAGCCAGCCTTTCAACAATGAGAATGTGACAGTCAGGACACGAGACAAGTAACTGTAAACACAAGTTCCTAGAGGAATCTGACAGTGGAATCTGAGTACCAGGCCCTGAAAATAACGAGGTGTTAGAGGGAAGGCTTTGAAGAAAACGCAGTGCTTAACATATTAATGGAAATTTGCATATCTGGTCAATCTTATTAGTGCAACCTTTTCAGAATAACAAAGGATATGTTCCTATTATTTGGACATAGTTCATATATTACAGCAATTAAGGAAAATGGTTATCAGTTACAAACCGGTAAAACTGGCAAAAATGGTTAATAACAACAAAAACAACAAAACAAATCCCACTTGCTAGAGCACTGAGTGACAGCAGCGGTGCTGCTGAGGCACCTCTCCCAGTGCTGAGGCTGGCTGCATCTCACCCACATGCAGCTTCCGACTTCCTGAGATTTGGGATATATAAATAGATATACGTATTATATACATATATATATATATATATATATATATATATATATATATTAAGCCAGAAGATATAAAGTAGGCATCTTGCAATTGATTGCTAATCAACACAAATGAACAGAATAAATTAATTATATACTTATACTTGAGAATGCCATACATATATTTAGGCTGAGAAAACTTTAGCTTATCCAAAGAAATACATCTCAATTTTAGTTTATACCTTTCAGTAGTTAAAATACCTCCCCAATACTTAGCCCAGGATGTAATCCTTCTGCTTCTGTTGGCCAAATTCTACAGTTCCATGTATGTGCCACTACGCATATTAATATAACTTTATATCCTATCATGAAATAATTCCATCAGGACAGTATTTCAAGGGGCCATGTAACTTGACACCTTAGCTCTTCTCAAGGATAATACTCATTTCCTGGTGTATTTGTAGGACACACCTTTGTGTCGACAGAACTCCTTGTAGGCCTCCTTCACACTGCATGCATCTGTGGAGATGCTGTCTGGGCTGGGCTGAAGTTAACAGTCTTCCTGCCTTGCCCTCTGCAGCACGTGGGATTGCAGTTACGTGCTGCCACTGCAGTCTGGCTTTTAAGTTTTAAATGGATCTTCATCTTTCTCCGCAGGAAAAACATTATATCAGAACATTTCTGTTCTCATCTGCTGGTGCTAAGGCTGTGAGCACGTTAAACCCAGATTAAACCCCTGAGGTATAGTCCTAGATCCCTTCATTTTTCTGTTTTGATTCTCTTGGCTTTTTTATGTTGCTTACAGTATATTCTATTGTCTTAGCTCCAATGGAAAGAAATCCTAAACAGACAGGTGATTCAAAGCACTGCTTGAGCGCTTACTTCAGGTATGGATTTCCCCTCAACTCTTCATACCAGAGTGCATTTGGCACTGTGATAAATTTAAACAAGAGCAAGGCTTTAGGGAAGCTTACATTTCAAACGCTATGTTTTCTTCAGTTTTAGTATTAATTAGCTTTTTCCCCATAAAAATAAGGGAATCACATAAAGCAGTGAATGAATTAAGTGTCAGTGTTACTACTGACTGCACATCAAATTCTACATCAAAGAATTCTTTTAATCCTTTTAAGTTTTAATATAAACTATGAGTTAGTAATCCTCTAGCTATACTATATAGTAGTTTGCTTTGGGGGCATTTTGTTCAGCCTCTGATTACTACCATAAATACTCAACATTGTTTCCTCAGGAACCTTTATTTTTTATAAATAACTGCTGACTTTATTAAAAGAGATGTTTATTATTTAAAAATGGATTTCAAAGTAAAAGATTGACATGTACTCAGGAAAAAGCAGGTCTAACTTAGAGTGTCTTGAAGCTGGAGCTCAAACGGATGAAGCTCATGCTGCATAACCTACGGCTGATTCGAGGGCTGCTCACTGCAGTAGAACCAGACACTTCTAGCTGTACCAGAAAGAGAACCGGTGCTGTGGATGTCATCTGGCTGACTCTTGTGCCTTCTCTCTCTCCCCCAGTCTCTCTCTTGCAATCTTAAGGCTGAGAATTTGAAAAGGAGTTAAGACATAGTTGCCTACTGCACTCCTTTTGTTCTCATGGAATGAATTAACCCTGAAAACATTAGTAATTTAGGGAGGAAATACACCAATAATTTTCCTTAACAGTCATTACAAATACAAAGTTTAGGTTTTTCTCTCTACAAGTTCTTGTAGGCATTGCTGCGATATGAAAGCAGGATTCTTGGGTGAAAACCTCTGGGGAATAGCTCTGGTACCTACTGGCTACAGGAGTTCACTATATGACTGTGGACAAGTTGCTCTTGTGTATGGGTGACAACAGGATTGTGAGCATGAGATTGTTATGCTACCGTTGCTGAAACAACACGGAGGAGACTGCACACATGGTTGGCAAAGTTGATTATCCTATATGGATAATTAGTATTATACATTTATTAGCCATCTTCGTAAAATCAAAGTAGGCTGAATTACTCAAGAGATAATGGAAACGGGCTGTTTTCTAATCCTAAATATGCATTTGCTTGAATTTTAGTGAGTTAGACTGTTCTAGTAACAACAGAAAATTAAGAATACTCCATATTACTCCAAAAATATAATCTTTCCCCCCACAAACTAGGAAAGGACAAGATCGTAACTGGTACTTCATTCTGTCAGAGAGCAAAGAACAAAACTGTACTAGCTGCCCCGTCACAGTCTAACTGGATGCTGCCCACTAAAGCTCTTTAGTTGTCTCTCTGTTTGCAATTGTGTGTGACAAAGCATTCATAACAACAGCTTATCATAAAGGCATCGAGACTCACACCTGACGCTCTCTGGAAGCACTGCTACTATTTCGAATAGCAAAGGAGGAGACATAAAGTGATTCAAACAGCCCAGGAAACGGCCAGGCCAACTGTGCATGCCAAAAGTATATCTTTCTCAACTCTGTCCGGACACATGGCTACTCTGTGCCTCAAATACTCCATATTGAAGAATTTTTTAGAATGAATACTCTACCGGTAGAACACAAAATTCTATAAAGAAGTTTGACTAGAAATTCCTCCACCTTCAACAAAGTGACTAGTTACTTGTCCAGGCTAGAGTCTTGGTGAAATTAGTTCATCTCTATGCAAGTATTAACCTTACCATCTCCTTACTTGCTATCTGAGTCAACCACCCACATATCTATGCCCTTGCAGGACACCACAGGCGTAACCACTGTTGTGAGCCACACTGTAAAATGGGCCTGTTAGAAAAGCAAGGGCTTTGTTCCTCTGATAATCCAGCAAGATCCTGAGGAAAGTGTAACTTTATTTAGACTTTCTGAAATTTACTGTTGAGACTATCCATTTACTGTTATACCCACATGTTTAAAACCAATCCACTGAACTTAATTACCTTAGGAAATGTGCTTCTCTGTTTGCAGAAGAAACAGACGTGAAGCCATCACTTACTCCTAAATCTAAAGGAGGCAGCAGCTGTGCTGACGCACACATGTCCTCGGCAAGCACAGACAGACAAGTAGAAAGCTTGCAGCCTGGGTGGAAAATGAGTCCCGTACAAAGAAACCTCCAGAAGAGAAATCTTTCCAGAGCCAAAACCAGGAAAAGCTTCCCCTAAACACTCATATTTCCTAGCCTCAGAAATGCAGCACAGTTTATAACTCTCATTTCACTTTAACTCTGACATAGATAAATCTTTTACTTAATGTTAGCGACTACTGTAGCAGTTGCTAATGGCTCGCTGATGGATAATACACAGTCTTAACTACAATTTATGTACTTGGGTATAGTCTTCAACTTGTCTGGACCACTGTATAAGGAAATAGTGTGAAAGGCAGAATAGACTTGTGCTTGCTTCAGCCATCACTTACATCCTCACTGATGGACAATGGCCATCAAAGTATTACTCTCCTTACCTGACCTGTCTTACAGTGATCAACTAAATCACTAATTACTATCCGTGTGTGTGCATAACTGTACAATTCAGTTAACTAATACTACATTTGGGCTTTGCAAAACAACCTATTTAAAGTACATTCGATGTATGCCTTAGCCTTAGTATTTCCTGACTCTTAGGCTTCTGAAGATATGTCTACTAAACTGTGCGGCAGAGGATAGGAGACGAGCAAGGAGACAGGAATA